GGTCCAGGAAGGCTTCCTGGAGGAGGTGGCCAGTGATGGGCTTCCAGTGCTGGGCTGCCTGGTCCAGGCCACTTCCATCTGTCTGCAGTGTACCGCCGGAAGCACCAGGAGCTGCAAGCCATGCAGATGGAACTGCAGAGCCCCGAGTACAAGCTGAGCAAGCTCCGCACCTCAACCATCATGACCGACTACAACCCCAACTACTGCTTTGCCGGCAAGACCTCGTCCATCAGTGACCTGAAGGAGGTGCCACGGAAAAACATCACCCTCATTCGGTGAGTGCCCCGGCCATCCTTCAGGGAAAGGGGGTGTTCTAGGGGTTGGCTGCCACCCAACACAGGTTCCTCTAGCCACAGGAGGCCAACAGAAGTGAAAGTTACTTTTAATCAAAACTCCTAGGGCACCCCTAACCCTCCCAGAGGGAGAAGGTTTAATGTTCAGGGCCATTTGAGGGGCATTAAATCACTCAACACCCTGTATGTTCATGGGGTTTGTACAATGAGAGGAAGACTACATGGGAGGGACCAGGACTCTCAAAACCCACACAAGTGCCCTCCCTGAGCCTTCCTGGCCCCTTTCTCCCCTGATGGAGCCGAGTGGCCTCCTCCGAGCTCCCAGACACCCTGTGCATGTCACTCACTGAGCACCACACAGAAGTGTCTGTCAACCATTTGTCCCTCCCTCCCTCCCCCAGAGTGCAAACCTTCAGGGCAAGGGCTGGGTCTCAGTCACCTCTGTGTCCTTGGCAAATGTCAGACTCAAGTCTTCACTGAAGGACTGTCCACCACTGCCATGTCTCCCAGGCTGTAACATCTCTTGGCAGTTCTCAGACAATGCAATGGAGGCCCGGGGCTGAGTAGCAAAGCCAGGGTGAGGTGTGACCTTGAGTGTGTGTGTGCCCCCTTCCTCTCAGCCTGCCCGCCTACCTCATCTGGCCTTCTCCTTTGCACAGGGGTCTGGGCCATGGTGCATTTGGGGAGGTGTATGAAGGTCAGGTGTCTGGAATGCCCAACGACCCCAGCCCCCTGCAAGTGGCGGTAAAGGTAAGCGGGGTCCCTCCGGGGCCGGAGCTTGGCCAGGGGTCTCTGTTGGCCACAGTCTTTGCCGACAGCCCTCCTGCAGCTAAAGGCCTTCTCCCCTCTGTGCCCAGACGCTGCCTGAGGTGTGTTCCGAACAGGACGAGCTGGATTTCCTCATGGAAGCCCTGATCATCAGGTAGCGTCACAGAGACACCCCACCGCCCACATGCACGTGCTTCCGACAGGTGTCCCAGAGGGAACCCCCTCCGCACACCCCTCCCTCTCCAACAGCAGACTCCCCCAATTCTCAGCATGGCCTACCAGAATGGAACAGCCCCCCAATGGTTGTCACCGGGAAAAATCTCTCTGACCAAATAATCCAGTTGGTACTACTCTGCCTTCAGCTAACATCCATTCATTCTTTTCCCTGCTTCTTCCACCAGCCCCTCATGTGGTAGAAGGCTGCCCCACCCTGGTCCA